CACTTATTAAATTTAGAGAAAATTTTTATGTCAAACGATATATGCAAGTATATGCATGAACACAAAGTAAAAGAAATATTTTGATCAATTTTATATTTTGCGTAATTTGAAGTGAAAAATAGCAAATATTCAAACGAAATAATTTCGCGGCTTTTCTGTGACGTAGGAACCGCACTGCCTAAAACAAGTTAAATTGTCCGTTAGATAGCGCTTGCGGTGTGACAGTGTCAAAATAAAACCATGGATGTAATACAGTGTCTCTATTACATCCATGAACAAAACATAATAAACATAACCTACAAACACTCTATCTCTTTTCAATACAACCTAAATGACGTTCATCTCTTTCTCGCATTTGAGCGGGGAGCAGGGGACGCAAAAGTGAGAATCGTACGTCATCAACGCGGGAATTTTAAAAGCGCAAATGGGTATATAAATTTTCAATAATTTTTTTAACAATGACTTTGTTCGAAAATATTAAAAAAAAAAATAACGGTAACTATATTTTTATATAAACTTTCAGAAAATATAATAAAAAAAAAATCGTGTATGACCCCATTAGCCTCCTTTCGGCGGTTTATGGCAAGCAACCAACCACTAAACTTTGCCCACTTCCAATGGGGTCATACACGATTTTTTTTTTATTATATTTTCTGAATGTTTATATAAAAATATAGTTACCGTTATTTTTTTTTTAAATATTTTCGAACAAAATCATTGTTAAAAAAATTATTGAAAATTTATATACCCATTTGCGCTTTTAAAATTCCCGCGTTGATGACGTACGATCTCACTTTTGGGTCCCCTGCTACCCGCTCAAATGCGAGAAAGAGATGAACGTCATTTAGGTTGTATTGAAAAGAGATAGAGTGTTTGTAGGTTATGCTTATTATGTTTTGTTCATGGATGTNAATGTAAAATTCGAGTTCTATGTGTAGGGTGTTTCTAAATTGATCAAAGCACCTCTGGGAAAAGTGGTATAAGTCTTACAATACTAGCTTATCGATTTCTATCTGGTGAATACTGGTATAACTCCAATTTTCTAAAACTACTGTCGTGAAAATAGGTACATGTTGATGTAAACCATTGAAATAATCTTCTTTATGGTACATGTCTACATGTTATTCCGTGTAATTTTTTTTCACTCGGGAATATAGATATAAGTCTAACTATATCTGGTTAAATTATTAAATTATATTTAAACTAGTGGTGAAAAAGGATATAAGTTAACATGTTACATTTAATTTGTGACGCAAAATAAGGTATATATAGAGTTATCCCGTTTTTCACGGAAGTGTTTTAATTTTGTACGGTATAAATCTACATGTACCAGTTTTCACAGTTGCATTATTCCAGAATCAAGAGTAATAAGTATATTTATTACACTTTACGTTTCTAAAGTCAAGTGCACTGTCTGTTTTTAGTAATAAAACATTATTGTTATTAAACTACTTTGACTAAATTTTCTGTTTTGGTCATAAAGTGATTAACATTACAATAGTGCAAGTATTTAATGTATACTAAATAAACTACAATACATTCATCGATATTAAAACTGTTTATAAATTGTGAGGTTATGTCGTATTCAAAAAGAGCAAACTTTATAGCTGGACTGCGAGCTAACGTGAAAAATAAAAGTTCCTCTACAACTTTCAGTTGCGGTAAGTTGAATCAAACTGTTATAATAATATTATAGTTTTTATAAAAATTTTAATTTTAGACGAAGGCGATAATAACCCAGAAACGCCGCTGTTAGCAAACACAAGTGGCCTAGGCAAACATGATTCTGTGGAAATTCTTGATTTAATTCCACAGCCTCTCTTGGAATCTGATGAACTGAGTACTGAATGTGCAATAGAGAATTTAGAAGATATTCAAGATATTAGTCAAAATTACCCAAATTTGGAAGAAAGGGATATACTATTATTAGAGCACCCAAATGACATGTTCCAAAATGAAAATTATGAAACATACTTTAAAGCGGATGGAAAAAGAATAAAAATTGATAGACTCATAAAAGAAATTAATGTGTCCGAATCAAGTCACGAAATGAACACGACGGAAAACAATGAATACAACAATGAGGTACCTGAGAAGCAAAATAATAATGATATAGAGTCGCAGGATACACTAGAGAGTGAGAATAGCCAAGTAGACCCAGGAAGACAGAATAAGATAGACGAAATGGAGCAAGGTGTTGAGGAGCAGGGTGCTGAGGATCAAGATGAGCCCGTGGATGATAGTGATGCTGATCCAAATTATATTGCTGAAAGTAAAAGTAACGATGAGTCAGAACACGGGGAAGAACAAATAAAAATAAAGCCGAATAAAAACCAAATGAAGAAGTCAAAAACAAAAGAAACAAGGGCAGTCCGGAATGAGAGAAAATTAAAACGGAATTTAGGACTTGAGTACACAACAAAAAAAGAAAAAGTAGTAAAAGAAAGAAAGTGTATGGAACTAGCGGACTGTAGACTCAAATGTACAACGAAGGTAACCGAGGAAGAGAGGCAGACTTTGTTCAAAGAATATTGGTCTATGGGAAATTTCAATAAACGTGTAGCATTTATGGCTGGATTAATAATAACTCAACCAAAAAAAAGCTGGAGAGTAAAAACTGTGAACCCTGAAAAACAAAAAAATAGGACAATGAGTTATAATTTCCACTTACCCCTTGATGGACGCAAGCAAAGAGTGTGCAAGGCTTGTTTTATGAAAACGTTTGGTGAAACTAACAGATTTATAACTGATGTGCTGCATAACAAAAATGCGTCGGTAGCTGGTGTCACACACGATGACTTAAGAGGAAAATCATCACCTGCCAATAAAATACCCGAAGAAGATATAGATCTCGTTCGTCAGCNAAAATGAAAGTTCTGCACACGTTACATCTTTTTTGTTCATTTAAAATCTATGATTTTATTATTTGTCACCTGCTGCCTTTTGTAATAGTTTCACTTAGTTAATTTTTATAATTGTTATAATTACCTTCTTGTGAAAAGGAGCATAAAATACAAATTTTTTATTAAATTTGATGAATAGTGGTATAAAAGCATTTTTTTTTCTTATAGCAACAATATTTTATATTTTTAGGACAACCCATTAAAAAGACCACCATTTTTATGGTTATCTAAAAAAAAAGCACCAAAAATTTCGGCCAAATATTAATTTGCGAGATCTTTAAACATTTACAAGTTTAACATCGATTTTCTCAAAACTTCTTTTTTAGACTTATACCCCTTTTCCCAAACACGCGCCATTTATCTATGTATATCATTACTTAGAGGATGTATTTCGTCGATATAGTATGTCTGAATCTATCTAAATATGCATCAAATTGGGATTTGCTGGGTGCACACAGTGGTTGCTTCAAGATGCAACTAAGGTTCATAAGGTTCATAAACGACCTACATCTAGTGTTAGTTCTAGATCTGATGTTAGTTCTAAATTTAGTTGTTATACTTATTATTTGATTATAGTTGAACTACCATTAGACCTAGAACTAGAAACACACAAAAAGATAAAGTTCGTTTATCTGTCGTTAAATCAACGTAGCATGAAATCTGGATTTTCTTCAGTACAATCACTCTTCAGCATTTCTCAAATTAATGGTTATCTGTAAAAAGTACTTGTTTCTAAAAACGCAGCATCAATAGTACATTTTCCATCATAGTATGGCAACACTGCATTTGCAACGGATGATCAGCAATTTTAAATTCTTGTACTCTCGGCAAATAGCTGGATACAATTCTGTTCATGTAGAAAATGCCAAGACATGCCTTTGGATATTCTGAAATGTCTATACTGTTGCTATCAACAGTACTAGCAGTACTACGATCTGCCACAAAATCCAAAATGTTTTTTTCTAGTTGGGGTGTACGAACTGACTTCAGATTCCCGTTATTTACATACTTCTGTCTAAAATTTCCTGTCTCACGTAAAAATCTTTCGATATTTAGAAATGTTTTTCTATCAGGTTGTCCTTACTTACAATTTGTTTCCATAAGCACCTACGATTAATGAAAACATTTCAAAATCGAGGTTATGTGTCCAATTAAGTCTTAATTACTTTCATTGTTATTTTTTAAAGTTTGTGCAATAGCATTTATGGCGCTATACGGTGTACAATTTGCTATGTAGGATGTTATGCAATCGGGTAGCTCTTATTCTTTCTGTTATCTAGAGGATCTTTGTTAAACGAGGCCTCGGCAATGTTAGAAGATAACAAAGAACTGNTATTTGTGTTTAATTAAATGAATTTTTGTCGAACCTGATATTAGTTTTCTTTTTGAACCTGAACTTGCCCGAAACCCTGAGTTTAATAAGAGTCTCACAAATTAAAAGAAACCCAAATTTATAGTTAAATTATTAAATTGTGTACAAACACACAAGTAAAACATTACAATATATAAGTACTTTCCTGTATCGTTTTGTGCCCTTTTTTCAGATAACAGTATGAGTGAACCGAAGAAAAAATGCAGACAATACAGTATTGAATATATTAAATTTGGCTTGATTCCGTCACTAGGAAATAGTACTTTACCTTTCTGTCTTCTATGTAATAAAACGATGTCAAACGATTCAATGAAACCTTCTAAGCTTAAGGAACATTTAATAAAAATCCATAGTGACAAAAAAGATAAGGATTTAACGTTTTTTCAAACACTCAAAGAAAAATATTTGAAAACACCGAAATTGCAAGAACTCGTGCGTCTTATAATATTTCTTTAATGATTGCGAAGTCCGGAAAGCCGCACACTATTGGCGAACAACTTATTCTACCAGCTATAAGTGAGGTAATACGCACCGTGATGCACAAACCAGCTTACGATATTATAAAAAGAATTTCATTGAGTAATAATACAGTACGAAGAAGGATCGACGAAATGGCTCAGAGTGTGGAAAACTCTTTATGTGACTACTTAAAAACATCTCAATTCTCTATACAGCTTGACGAGTCAACATTACCTGGAAATGAGGCTTTACTTTTAGCTTATGTGAGATTTGTGAAAGAAGAAAAAATTTCCCAAGAATTGTTATTTGCTAAATGTTTGGAAACTGATACGAAAGGTGAAACATTATTTACTGAATTAAAAAGATTTCTTGATGTAAAAGCTATACCCTTGACTAATATCATCTCCGTTGCTACTGATGGTGCTCCGGCAATGGTAGGACGACACCGAGGCTTTCTGGCGTACTTAAAACAAGTCATACCGAATGTACTATCGGTACATTGTGTTATTCATCGACATCATTTGGTCGCAAAAAACCATAGTGGACGTTTGCATGAATCACTACATTATGTCATTAGAGCAGTTAATAAAATCAAAAGGAATGCCTTAAATGAGAGATTATTTGCCAAGATTCAACGAGACTAATTTGAAACTACAAGGTGACACACTAAATTTAATCAAAACTAAAAGTGTAATATCTGCCTTTGTTGCAAAACGTTTGCTATACAAACAAAACTTGGGAAGAGGAGAATGTTCTGTTTCCAAATCTTTCGAAATTGCAAAATAGGGACGAAGATTTGCTTGCTTATTGGCAACACTTAACGGCACTCCATTCGGACCTTACTCAAAGATTTGAAGACATTCTTCACTTGGATATTCCCGACTGGGTGTTGAACCCTTTTGTAAGTAGTCAAACTCAGAGCACAAATGCAGATGAGTACATGCCAGTACAGGAGCAACTTATTGAATTATCCACAAATGAGGAGCTGAAACCAATGTTTAAGCAAGGATACGAAAATTTCTGGTTACAAAAACAGATCCCAATTTTATATCCAGCATTATGGGTTATTGTACAGAAGCTGTTGATTGCTTTTCCGTCTTTCCGTATTTGGTAGAACGTGGATTCAGTGCCGTTATGAGTCTCGTCACAAAGAAAAGAAACAGACTGGAAATTAATAATCGGGGGGATTTGCGGTTGCTACTGACAAACATGGAGCCGAACATAAATAAACTCATAACATCCCATCAGGTTCATACAAGCCATTAATATTTTATTGTCTTTTAGTACAAAAGTTATAATCAATAAATACTTCTTCAACAAAATGTTTACTTTACATTTTATTTTTACGTCACCATTTACCATTAAGACAACAAAGTTAAATTCTTCATTTTTCTATTATGTATTTAATGCAGTTTTTCACCCTGGGGGTCCGTCGGCAAGGTTTGACTAAGAAAAGGGGTCCGTGGGCCAAAAGACTTTGGGAAACACTGGTCTAGACGATGGCCACTAGTCATATTCTACAGGATTTTAGATATAGCTGCTGCCAATTCTTTCATAATATCTAATTATGACAAATCGAAACGTATGGAATTCATGAAAGACCTAGGAAGACGATTAGTAATACGATAAGAAATACCACAACTTTCTCACGAGCTCAAGAGTCTCATAGGACGTATTTTGGGGAAAGATAAGCCTACTGAATCAAATCAACAAAGCACTGAAATCCTAAAGTTTGAGATTTTGAAGAATTGTTACATGTGTTTCAAGCAAAAACGACGTAGAACCCATTACGGGTGCACAATGTGCACTCAGCCGATCTGCTTGCAGTGTTCAAAACCCACCTGTAACAACTGCCGTTAAAAAGTGCCTAAATAATTGATTAGTTGCTAACGTAATTTTGATTTCATAAAAACATTCTTAGTTAAGTACAAAAATGATGACAACAAGTTCCTATAGAGTAAGTTTTTTTTTGTTGATTTTTAAATATTTTTTGTATTTTTTGTATACCGCTAAGAATATTGGTGAATAAATATTTTTTCTATGAGTATTTTTATTGTTTTTTTTATCTTTACATCTTAGATATGAAATGTTCTATTACATAAAAATCAATAAAAACATTAATTACGATTGACCACGGCCTCACAGGCCTCGAAAGAAATAGACGAATCTCATTCGTACGTCAGTGGTAGTGTAACGAAATGACACGTCAGTGATTGAGGGTTAAAGAGCAACATTCTTATATCAACACATTACACGAAAACATAACGTTTACATTGGAAACAGAACAAAACAACAGAATAAACTTCCTAGACTTAACTTTAAAAAAGACAAATGTAGGAATACATATGAATATTTATAGAAAAAAGGCACAAACGGATATAACTATTTCAAAAAAGTCACAACATAACGACATAAATTGGCAATTTTTAGAGCATACATTGACAGAATCTTCGATATAAAACTAGGAGAAGACGAAATAAGAAAGGAGACAGAAATAATAAAACATATAGGTAGAAATAATGGATATCATCCCGAAGCTATATACCATTTACAGATCAATTTCGCAGTTATGAAATTCAATTTCAAACTTACGAAATTGAAGTTCACACAAATGAAAATCATTTTTGCACTAACGACAAATCAATTTCCTACTAACGAAAACCAGTTTCACACTAAAGAAACTGAATTTTTCTTTTACGAATTTTAATTTTGTTTTTATTAAAATGAATTTCATACACGTCAAAATTAATTTTAAATTTATGAAAATCAATTTAAAAAAAATCTAGCATACTTACACTTGGAATCTCACCTAAAGAAAGACAATTAATTGCGAAGAATAAGTCATGTATGCTTGGTATTTGTTTTAATAAACGTCAAACTTTCGTAACTCCATGAAAATGCCTCGCGGTAAATACAATAAGGTTAGTGCTGCTGATAGAAGAAGAATAATGAAAGCTTACGAAGATGGTAAAAACTGGAGGCAAACTGCTCAAGACTTGGGTGTCAACGTTCGCACTGCGTACGAATGGTTAAAAAATGATCAAGAAGATCCGAAACCTAAAGGAGGTTCCAAGTCTAAAAAAACTCTTGCAATTGACGAAGCGTTAGTAAGGTGGATCGAAGAAGATAGTACGTTA